GATGGAAGCCCCAGGTCTTGGAGATGCTGTTAGGAAAGCGAGTTGGTGAGCCCTGGGTCAGAGGAGATGCTGGGTGCAGCTCCGTGGCGACGGCTGGAGTGCAGCACAGGTCAACAGAGCCACCACAGGTCAACAGCAGAAGAAGCCAACAGGTCACGAAGGGTACTGATGGGAGGCTTCTCAGAGGAAGGCGTCAGAGTGGCCAGTAGCACCCAAAAAGATGCTGGATGGACCAGCCACCAGAAAATGTGGAGTCGGGTCTGGCTGACAGTCACCGCATGGCCCTGCGCCTCCTGGGCCCTGGGCCCTCCAGCCCCCTCCCAGACCTCCCCGTCCTTGTGCCGCCAGGCTGCCCCGTCATGGCTGTGCTGTGACGGCGTCTGTGTGGTCCTCCAGGTTTCGTGGGCACCCTGGGGCCAGCAGGCTCTGTCTGCCCAGGGCCTCCTGTGTGCACAGAGCATCACACCCTTTCTCCACAGTGCTGCATCTGTGCCGTGGGCCACCTGTGGGAACGTGGTACGGCTGTGGCTGTCCTGGGCTTATCTGAGGGGTCAAGCCGCTGGCCTGGTCAGAAATTCCCTAGACATGAGGGTGGAGGCCAAAGGCCTGACCAACCAGCTGAGGAGCAGTGGGCCCAGGCGGGCACAGCTGGGGCTGGTGGCCGAGGCTGCAGGGCCTGGATCCCCATGGGCACGGGTGACTGTGCGCACGTGGGTGTCCTTGTGGGTGGGGCTTCCTGAGGTTCTCCTGGAGGCGGCAGGCCAGGGTGTTTTGGGGGGTCATGTCTGGGGCTAGAGTGAGGTGACAGGCCCCAGCCCCAGGATCTTACCCACAGGCTCCAGGACAAGGAGTGACCCTCAAAGGTCCCCACTTGGGTGGTGTGGGGAGCAGAAGGGCCCCCACGGGACTCTCCCAGAGCCCACCCCACACAGCAGAGGCGATGGCTGACCAGTGCTTTATTGATCATTCCCAGAGGTCAGCGCCTGCGGGGACTGCAGCTCCTTTGAAAGTCCCGTCTCCCTGTTCCTGGCCACTGTTTGCCCGGCTGGGCCAGCAGCTGTCCTGTCCCCAGGCCTGGTGACTTGCGTGGTACGTGGGCTCCTGCCTCAGCCCAGCCCCTCCAGCTGCCAGGGGCTTGGTGCGGGGGTCACAGCTTGTTCCGAGGGCAGTGCCGAAGAGCCTGCTTCAGGGCCTCGATCACCAGATCCACGTTCTTCCGGGTGGCGTTGCAGCCCAGCAGGCCGATCCGCAGCACCTGGTGGGCACAGGCCAGGGCGTGTGGCAGCCTCTGTCTGTGGGTCCCCAGCCCTGAATGAGGCCTGGGCAGAGCCAGGGTGGGCTCACCCCAGGGTCACCACCCACCCAGCAGGCAGGAGGGACACAGATGAAGACCCCAGAGACCCAGGCCAAAGCCAGCCCTCTCCCCTCTGCACCAGTGCAGGGTGGCCCTCAGTGGAGGTCACTCAGCAATTCTGGCTCCGCAGAGCAGCTGGACTGGGCCTGGATTTCCAGCTGGACTGCAAGGTCCAGTTGGAGGGCAGGAAGGACCAGGACGTTCTGAGAGGAATTGGAAAGGGTGTGCCCGGTGACCTCTGGCCAGGGTGGGCTGGGCGGGAAATGCCCTGGAGCAATAGGCCTGGCCCAGATTGTCCGCTGACCTTCCCCATGGAGGGCCCGAGGCCGCCCGAGATCTCAATGTTGAAGTGGTCTTGGACATAGCTCACGATGTCTCTCCAGTCATAGCCAGCGGGCACCGCCACAGCAGTGACCGTGGGCAGCCGGAGGGCCTGCAGGAAGTGCTGGGCTCAGCAGGCAGCCAGAT